TCTCTGATGTGTTCTTGGATTTGATTTGCCAGTATTTTATTGAATATTATTGCATTAAGGTGCTTGGGGGATATTGCTCTGTAGTTCTCTTTCTTAGTTGTATTATTGTGTGGTTTACATAACAAGGTAATTGCAGCCTCATAAAAAGAGTTTGGCAATGACCCTTCTGCTTCTATTATGTGGAATACTTTCAAGAGGATTTGTGTTAGCTGTTCTTTTAATTTCTGGTAGAATTCTGCACTGAAGCCATCTGGCCATGGGATATTTTTGGTTGGGAGACTTTTAATGACTGCTTCTATTTTGTTAGGGGTTATAGGTCTATTTAAATTGCTTATCTGTTCTTGATTTAATTTTGGTAAGTAAAATCTATTCAGAAAATTGTCCATTTCCTTTAGACTTTCAAATTTTGAGGAACAAAGGTTTCCAAAGTATGACCTGATGATTCTCTTGATTTCCTCAGTATCTGTTTTTATGTACCCCTTTTCATTTTTGATTTTATTAATTTGCATGTTCTCTCTCTGCCATTTGGTAAGTTTGGATAAAGGTTTTTCTATCTTGTTGATTTTCTTTATTACATTGATTCTTTGTATTGTTTTCCTAGTTTCTACTTAATTGATTTTAGCCCTCAGTTTTATTATTTCCTGGCATCTACTTATCCAGTGTGAGTTGGCTTCCTTTTGTTCTAGAGCTTTCAGTTATGTTGTCGATTCTCTAGTGTGATTTTTCTGCAGTTTCTTCATGTGGGCACTTAGCACTAGGAACTTTCCTCTTACCACTGCTTTCAAAGTATCCCATAAGTTTGGGTTGTGTGGTCTCATTCTCGTTGAATTCTTGGAAGTCTTCAATTTCTTTTATTGCTTTATCCTTGAGCCAGAAATAGTGCAATGGTCTTTATTCCATTTTCATTAGTTTGCATGTTTCCTGCAATTCGTGTTGGTGTTGAATTCTAATTTTACAGCATGACGGTCTGATAAGATACAAGGGGTGATTTTAATTTTTTGTACCACTGAATTTGAATCCTGTCAGCAGTCCCTCGCCCTCAGGTGTCCCTGAGCAGGGTAGCAGAATAAATATAGTTAATGTCAAAGAATTAGAATAACTGAAAAGTACTTTGTAGGGAGATACTGTAGCTCTGCCTCCTAGGAGCCCTACAGGTGTGCCTGGCTATGGAGGCTCAGGATGATGTAGGGCAATTCTTAAGGGGTGGCAGACATGTGGAGCCCCTTCTCTCTGGCCTCCCTAGCTTGCTGCCTCTGGGCACACTCTGGCTTGTGCTTGGCCGGTATTACTTGAATAAAGATATTTTAACCTGTAACTTCACGTTATAGTACTTTATTGAATATATTGCATATGTCATTTGAAAGCTCCCTTTAGAGAAAAGTTACATGACTTAACAATAGAAGACTGCCAAAATTATTAAAGAAAAATTATACCAATTCTATATGAATTTTTGTAAGCAAAAATGTCTAAACATGCTCCTAGTTAATCTGGGTCCAGTTTTACATAAGTAAATAAAATGTTTTTCAATAATAGAAAATTGTAGATAAGTGTTTACTCTGAAAATAGACACATAAATTCTATACATTTTAAGAAATAAAACCAAGGCAATTAAGTATTTAAAATATAACATTTTAATGTTTCAGTACAAAAGACTTTTCTTATAATGTATTGTTGGATTAATACTTGAGTTCTCAATGGCAAATGGAATGAATATGTTTCTCACACTTACTATATATTCATATGTGTGTTTGATTATGTATACACACATATATACATATATATATATTTAAATATATATCAAATCCTCAGTAATTACTCTATTTTTCCTAACCAATACCACTCACTAACTTAGAATTACTTATAGGAAGTTATTTACATATTTGGGAGGTGATTTTAACATCACTCTGATATTCTGCAGAAACCTACAGACCATATCCCCAGTGCATGACTAATTCTAAGTAAACTAAACTTCAACAAGTTTCTCTAAAAGTGTAATTGTCAAATTGAAATTTGTAATGCGTTGAGAAAGATCTTCTAATTATACATTCATGGGTATCTTAATGAGGATGTTTATGATTTTATTTAAATAATCTGTTCTTCACTGTTTTTCTGATTACAAAATTTAATTATGAATAGCAATTAATCAAACATTCTCTTTGTTGAGGTATAAAACTGAACATAGTGTTTCCTGCCATAAATCTCTTCTCCATATGGCAAAGGTACAATATTGGCACTGAAGCCTGGTGTCCATCTGGACAGAGATACATTTACTACATGAGGCAAAACTTTCAAAATCGACCATCTGTTTGTATGCGATTTGTGAAAAACTTGTAAATAAAATAATATGAACATGAAACAAGAGTGATCACAAAGATAATGGATCATTTACTTGGCCCAGTAAAAGCTCTTTCAAAAACACATGTTGAAAATTGTCAAATGCAATACTTTTTTCACCTTGAAAGTATAAAGCTACTTATTGTATATACAGAAATAGTTAATGCATCTACCACCAAATCCAAAGTCATCATACTAATTTTCAATTGTCTTCATTCTAATTAGTCATCCCTGATTTATAACAACCCAGCTTTATAAATGCTTACTTAAAATATTCACTGTGTCATTTGTGTGTATATTTTCCTCTGAAGGTTGGTAGTGCTGAGATTGCTTATTAGAAATTTATAGCATATAAATACATGATGAATTCATATGAAGTAATATGCATTAATTTACAGTAAAAATTTTGTAGTTATCTATTTGAAGGCCCAAATTATTTTCCTTGTGTCACTTTATGCACGTCACTATTCAGTCCCTTGATTTTGTCTTCTATGAAAGAAACCTAGTAACATTTGCTTCTTGATTGATGTGGAAACTAAATTAAATGTGAAAAAGTACTAATGAGCTTGGCTTTTGAACAAGGAACTACATACCAGTTGGCTTAAAACTACATGAAATTGTTTTCTACAATTTAGGAGTCTGAAGTATCAGTATCAAGGTGTTAGTATGGCTGGATTCAAGAGACAATCAGTTGCCACATTAGAGACTGAAAAGTTATGGTTTTCTCAAAAGGCAGACAAAGGTATTCATTTTTTCTATGTTTTTATCAAGGCATTGATATCATATGTGTAGGCTCCATCCTGTTAGTTAACCAACTACATACAAAAAGCCCCGCTTCCAAATGCTGTCATATTGGAAATAGTCTTTCATATAATAGGGCCCCATATATTCAGTCCATTTCAGTATGTAATTATTTGTCATAATGAAGTTATATCATTATCGAATCTACCTGAAAAAAATTTGTTTCCTATAGAAGTATGCATGGGTACTAAAAGTTAGTAAAGAAAAGTTTGAAATTGCTAATCTAGTAAATGCCCATAAAGGTTTCTATCCAAGGATCATATTCATAGCTCCCGAGGGAAGCAACTTCTTCACTCACCATTTAATGCATTATGTTTGAAAATCCATGCCCCTAATCTGTAATCCTTCCCAAGAGCAACACCTTGGTATTGCATGTCTTCCAGAGTTTTTCATGAGAGTAGGCATACTAGCTCCATTCAGTGTGCTCCAAGATTATATTGGGAGTGACTCAGGTAACTTTAGTGCAGCTGAACCTGAAGTCCCCCATTTGTGTCATAAGGGCATCTTCTGCTGACTCCCACAGTGAGTGAGGGTGTGATTGACTGCTTAGCATTTTGTAGAACATGCAAGTACAGAAATCAGATTTAGTGATGTGGAGCTGATCTATAATTGACAACTCTGGAAGAATAGACTCAACAGAGGTTATGAACTCTGTTGGAAAAGCAAAACAACTTTAAAGCAAAAAAAATCATTCAAAAACATCAAGGAGAACACTGGAAATTAATCATGGGAGACTGGGGTTCATTTCTTTGCCTAGACATGTCATATCTATTCTCCTAGCTTGTCTGTACATGAGCCACTGGATTTTTCAATTTATGAAATAAATAAATGGATTTATGTTTTTTAGTCAGATCCTTCAAAATCTGCACCATGCCAAAAACTTCCCCAATGCTTCTAGTGACAAATTTCCCAAATTTTCAGATTTATATTTATGAACCGTGGACTAGTCTGATTCTGCCAACACAAAACCAATGAAAACCCAAAATAAATAGATATGGCTCATTAATGATGAAGGGTTTTGTGACACATTTTCAGGAGAAAATTTCCAGAAAGAAGAAAAACTTCTTGGAATATAGTGCTTTCAAATTAACTATCAAGATATAGTGAGTTTGGGGCTTATGAGCTGGCTCAGTGGATAAAAGTGCTTGCTGCAAAGCCTGATACCTAAGTCAGATTCCTGAGATCCACCTGGCCACAGGAAAGAACCTACGCCTGAAAGCTGCCCTCTGACTTCAGCACACTAAATATATTAATGTTATGAAATGACTTGATACATGCAAGGAGTGTGTGGGGCTTAAAGATACATATATTGTTAGTTTATTATTAATTTGCAAAACACTATTAATTTTACCATTGTTGTTAAATATTAGAATTACAAATGTTCTTAAGGCACAGATTGGTTTGAATTTGACTTGTTTCTAAACTAGAAATTTGTAACAAGTTTCATGTTATATATAAATTTTAATTACCATAAATATAAAAATATTATTAGCAGATTACTTGGGAAGTTTCTATTAAATGGCACAATATTGTTGGAATTAATTAATTAATGATCTTTGCATTATATGAACTAAACAATAAAGCTGACATTTTTCCTTGCAGCTGCAAGGAAATAAATAAATAAATAAATCTCTACACATTTATGAGGTTCCATGCAGTATGTTGATGTATTCATGCTTTGTGAATGATTAAATCAAGCTCACTCCCACTCCCAATGATTTTGCAACTTTCTGCCTGTGATGAAAGTATTTAAAATCTATTATGTTGGTAACATAATAGTTAACTCTTTTGTTTGTTTCCTCTTTTTTCAGGACAGAGTTTCCCTGTGGTTTTGGAGCCTGTCCTGGAACTTGCTGTGAAACAGGTTTTACTCGAACTCACAGGGATCTGCCTGCTTCTGTCTCCCAAGTGCTGGTATTAAAGGTGTGTGCCATCACCACCCAGCAGTATTTAACTCTTCTTACTGGCTATATAACATATTATTACATATAATCCTAAAACATAACATCTCATTTTTTTTTTACCAGGTGCTGCCCTTTTTCATCCCATTCCTTCTTTCTAGAGCATTTCGGCACCAATCACATTTGTACAGCTCATTTTCCTGCTTGATATTTTTTTTATTACAAATGTAAGTGACATCCTGCAGTGTGTGCTTATTATTTTTTTTTTGGCCTGGCTTTTTTCACTAACTATAGTGATCTTTGGAGTCATTCATGTTATTGATAATGTTGAGATCTTCTTTTTAAAAGTCTATAGTGTTTTACTGTTTACTGTGTATTAATATCCATTTCTTTTAACATATTAGCCAATTAAATATTTAAATTGATTGCATATTTGATCACCATTACTATACAAGGGAAATGAAAGTGAAGCTATTTCTTAACAATAAGGTTTCAGTTCCTTTTGCTACATACCAAAATTTGGCATGGCTACATAATAAAGTAGTTATACGTTTCACATTTAGTGAACCTAGATAATGATTACTGATTCCCAGGTTCACCAATAGTTCTGCTTCCTCCATCCATATTCTCCTACTCTTTTATACATTGTCCTTTGATAACATAAATCCTGATGATTATGAAGCTGATCATGTGGCTTTAATCTTTCTTTCCATTATGAAGAGTGATACTAATTAGTATGCATATGCTTGTTAGCCTTCTGTAAACTTTCTTTGGAGAAAATTGTGTTTAAGTCCTTTACCTGCTTTAAAAATAAGATTGTTTGTTTCATGCCATTTATCTCAGTCATAATATGGGTATTAGCACCTTGTCAGATATTATGTTTGTAAATATATCACCAACTATTTAGATTTTCTCTTTAATTTCTTCCCATTTTTTGCAATTTTAAAATTTAAATTAGAAACAATCTTTTTTTACATATCAATCCTAGTTCCCTCTATCTCCCTTATTCCTCCCCCTCCACTGTCCCCTATCCCATCCCCATTCTGCTCCCCAGGGAGAGTTAGACATTTCATGGGGAATCTTCAAAGCCTGGCACATCATTTTCAGCAGGGCCTAGGCCCTCCCCCATGTGTCTAGGCTAATAGAGTATCCCTTTATGTAGAATGGGCTCCCAAAGTCCATTTGTACAATTGGAGTAAATAGTGATAAACTACCAGAGCCCCCATAGATTGTCCAGGCCTCCTAACTGACATCCAATTTCAGGGGGTTTGGGTTGGTCCTAGGCTGGTTTGCCAGCTATCATTCTGGTATTCATGATCTACCCCTTGTTCAGGACAGCTGCTTCTGTGGTTTCTCAAGGCTGGTCTTGACCCCTTTTCTCATCACTCCTCCCTCTCTGCAATTGGATTTTAGGAGTTTAGATCAGTGTCTAGCTGTGGGTTTCTGCTTCTGCTTCCATCAGCTACTGGATGAAGGCTCTAGGATGTCATATAAGGTAGTCATCAATCTCAATATACTGGAAGGGCATTTAAGGTAACCTCTCCTCTACTGCTTATATTCTTATTTGGTGTCATCATTTTATATATCTGGATATTTCCCTAGTGAAATATTTCTCTTTAAACCTATAATGTCTCCCTCCATTATGGTATCTCTTTTCTTATTCTCCTCTATTCTCCCCCAGTCTGAATCTTATGGATCCCTCATGGCCTCCTCGCCCCTCCTCTTTTCCCCTTCTCTTTCTCCTAACTCAATCTTCCCTCCCACCATACTCCCAATTTGCTTAAGAGATCTTGTCCCTTTCACTTCTCCAGGGGACCATGTATGTCTCTCTTAGGTTGTTCCTTGTTTCCTAGCGTCTCTGATGGGGTGGATTTTAGGCTGGTAATCCTTTTCTCTATGTCTAATATCCATATATGAGTGAATACATACCATGTTTGTCTTTTTGTGACTGGTGTACCTCACTCAGGATGGTTTACTCTAGTTCCATTCATTTGTCTATGAATTTCAAGATTCCATTGTTTTCTTCTACCAAGTAGTACTTCCACTGTGTAAATGTACCACACTTTCTCCATCCATTATTCAGTTGTGGGGCATCTAGGTTGCTTCCAGGTCCTGGATATTACAAATAATCCTGCTATGAACATAGTTGAATAGATGTCCTTGTTGTATGAATGTGCTTCATTTGGTATATTACTATGAGGGGAATCGCTGGATCTTGTGGTAGACCGATTCCCAGTTTCCTGAGGAAATGCTGTACTGATTTCCAAAGTGGCTGTATAAATTAACACTCCCACGAGTAGTGGAGTGTTCCCCTTTCTCCACATCCTCTCCAGCATAAACAATAATGGGGTTTATGATTTTAGCCATTCTGACAGGAATAAGATGGTATCTCAGAGTTGTTTTGATTTGCATTTTTCTGATGGCTAAGGATGTTGAGCACTTTCTTAAGTGTCTTTCATCCATTTCAGATTCTTCTATTGATAATTCTCTATTTAGGTCTGTATCCCACATTTAATTGTATTATTTGGTAATTTGGTGACTATCTTCTAAAATTCTTTGCATATTTTGGAAATCAAACATCTGTCAGATGTGGGGTTGATGAATATCTTTTTCCATTCTGTAGGCCTGCCATTTTTTCTTGTTGATTATGAACTTTTCCTTACAGGAGCTTCTTAGTTTCTGGAGGTCCCATTTATCAATTGTAGTTCTCAGTGCCTGTGCTACTGGTGTTATGTTCAGGAAGCAGTCTCCTTTACCAATTTGTTCAAGAGTTCCTGCCATTTTCTCTTCTAAGAGATTCAGTGTGGCTGGATTTATGTTGAAGTTCTTGATCCATTTGGACTTAAGTTTTGAGCATGGCAATAGATATGGATATATTTGAAGTCTTCTACATGTCAGCATCCAGGTATGACAGCACCATTTATTAAAGATGCTTTTTTTGTCATTGTATAATTTTAGCTTCTTTGTCAAAAATCAGAAGTTCCTAGGTGTTCAGGTTAATGTCAGAGTTTTCAATTTGATTCCATTGGTCTACATGTCTAATTTTGTGCCAATACCAAGCTGTTTTCTAATTGTCTTCTTATTCTTTATTTCCTGTTTTAATGTTATCTCAAAGAAATAATCGTCCTAAACCAATGCCATTGATCATTTCCCATTTTTCCTTTCAAAATCTTACTAAAATTTTATTATGCATAAAATTATATTGATTTTAATGTGTTATATTGATTTTCATTAGCATGTCATAATTACTAATATAAGAACCTGTTATACATTTATTTATCCATTTCCTTTTTATGACTTTTCTTACAGTACTCTAAATATTGTAGAGTCTAACTTTTTGTCTTAAAGCAAATGTAGACCAAGGGATTAAACTCCTGATATCTAATCGTAACAAGGATAAAAGTTATTTGTATTGTGTTATATGAATCACCATTGTGATAGATGCTTACTCTCTTAGAGTACTAAAACACATTTGTAATCATGACATATCAACACTTCTGTATTTCTACTGATTGAGATCTTCATTGGAAGACAGTATATAGCTATTGGAGAGATGTGTATTTATAAAATACCTCTCTTGTTCTTGATGAATAGTTTTACTTAGAAAAATTTCACACAATGAAAATTATTTTATGCTAGTTTATTGTGAATACTAACTGCACAGGAGCCTATGGTGATACTTTGGATAGTAGTGTCTGTGGTCCTGAAAAAGTAATGTCTGTGGTGCTAGCATTATCCTCCTCAATTCTTATAGCTTAAATAAATGCATGGAATTTTCATTATAGCTTAAAAATATTCTATTGTGTATATGTATCATATATTCATTATGCAATGCATTAATCTGTTGAATTATAAATGAAATCATGAAATGTACAGTCAAATTGATGGATATAGAATTGAGTAAGGTTACTCAAAAGTAACAGGCCTACACTGTAGATCTATGGTGTAGATCTACACTGAATAAGGCAATCCAGAACCATAAATACAAGTGCTGCATATTCTCCCTCTTCTTCAGGTCATAGTTCCAAATAATAAAAAATGGATATACTTATTATATGTATAACCACATAAACAAGGAAATTATAAAAGGATTATTAGGGGGAACTCATGGAGGGAAAACAGGTGATATTCACTGGGATACGGAATATTTGGGAGTGGGCTCTATCTGGGTAGTGGGAAGGAAAGTTAGTATAAAATGTAGAAAGGTAAAGGACAAATAACAGAATCTTTTATTAAAGATATAGGTTTATTAAAGTTTTGGAAAATATTTTTATATTTATCTAAACTTAGAAATAATATATATGCAAGTGGCTAATATGTATCTAAACCAAATAAAAATGCTTCCATAAGTACCACGGACTAACAAAAAAACCTAGTACTGAATACCAGAAAACTTAATTTTGAATTATTGGTCATGGAAGTACAAGTGACTCCCATGTATTTACTAAAGATTATCAATGTAGCTCTCTGCTGGCTCTCATGGTTAAGGTGGTCCACTATTGCTAAAGACAAAGTACACTTAAGACACAGGTCTTGGATTCTATGAGCTGTATCCAATGTGAATGTTTCTGTCCTACAGTCCAGTTTTTATGGTTCCAGAAAATATTATGCATGCTTCTAATGGAAAGAATCAATTAATAGTCTTACTGAGCTGCAAAACATATGGACCATTACTGTGATCAGCATCACAAAATATGCATAAAGATTAAAAATGTGGCAGTCACATGTTGGTGACAACCAACTGCTGTCCAACTGAAATTAAAGTCCACTCAACAGTAGGAAAACCACTGCTGGTATTAGAAATTTAGGCAAATTCAGGGGCTGGTGGACTGATGGAACTTGGAAAAAGTTCTACTACCATCTCTTTGATAGATCAGTCTAATCCTGATTACACACTAAAACCTATCCTTATACCCACAGATAATTGTAATCCCTACCACTCATCAAAGCAGCTCCTCTGTCCATTAAATGGAGACCCTCACAGAAAACCATTATTAGACAGGATGCAGAAATTAATAGATTGTGATTCACTCAGCACCAACAGACACACCTATATCACCCTTTCTGCATTTATGTTTCAAGGTACATCAAAAGAAGAGAAGGCAGAAAAATGGTCATAGCCAGAATACCACAGTCTTCTGTGAAAAAGTATCATGTAATCATAGCTGCATAAGCAAGACCAGAACAATGGCAGCATCAATGGACATACAAAGTGAAAACAGAAAAAAAAATGCTAGATTCCATCCCTAATCAAAGAATAACACGACAACTAATGACTGCTGGGAGAAGGAAAAATGGCAGCTCCAATAGTGTGCAATGTTTCAATTTTCTTTGAATTTGTGTCAACACATTTTATCATTTCCTTTATTCAACTTTTTATAAAAGAAGTTTGCAGCGATGTTTCATAATGATTTTTAACTTTCATTTTCCTGATGAATGGTACTGATGAACATGCTACAAAATACCTGTCATTTCTCTATGTATTTTCACAAGTGTGCCTATGATTGTGCTACACACACACACACACACACACACACACACACACACACACACAACACACACACACACACACACACAGATGTATGTGTAATGCTGAGAACAGCACTGAGTCTCATTCCATCCTGTCTTTTCAGAACACACAGTTCTTTCATTAATTTGGTTCTAATATACTTGGCTCCTGGCCAACAAGCAGAGATTTGCCTGTCTCTACCCACTCTGCTATACTACTCGTATTATAATACCATGCCACCTTGTCCAGACTTGTTACACAGGTTCTTGGATCTAACTCAGGTCCTCATGATGGCATGGAAAGCATTTTATATACCAAGTTATCTTCAGCCCCTTTCAGTCTTCAGAGTTCTTACTCTTACTGCTGAGTCATTTGTAAGCCTTTTATAAATTTATACTTATACATTAGTAAGTCCCTTATTCTTTTTATTTTTCTCACTTTTTATTACTTCTTTGAGAATTTCATAAAATTCCCAACCCCTCCTAGCTACTTAACTAAATTGGTGTCCTTCTTAAAAACAGAAACACACAGAAAACCAAAAATAGACTAATACAGTTTGTGATATCATATACGCTTGAATGTGTGGCCTTCACTGGAGGGTACACTCTTATTCAAAATGCTGTGTTAAAGACTTTTATAGGTAAGATGACAAGCCATGCACACACACACTTGCTTACTTCAGAAAAGGAATTCTCAGCAGACCATATTTATGATTATACCATTATCCATTTTTTAAACCAATGTATTTTTTAAACTCATGTTAGTAACATCAGTGTAGGTGAGGGGTTGCTTGCAAGAATAAGAATGAGAAGGGATTATTCAAATTTGGATATGTAACCAAAAAGCTCACCCAACATCAGTGACTAATCCCAAGTGTGTAAGCATGGAGCTCTTTATGAACCTGCAGACCCCAATATCTTTTTCCTTTCTCTTTTTAAAAAATTGAAAATAGATTCTTCTCTCATACCATACATCCCAACCAGAGTTTCTTCTCATCTACACCTCTTAGCTCCACCCACTCAAGTCTATGACCCCTCCTTTTCCCTTCAGAAAGGAAGAGGCATGCAAGAGACAACAGTCAAACATGACTAAAAATGATACAATGTGACAAGGCAAAAGCCCTCATATAGAGGCCAGAGAAAGCAACCTAATAGGAGGAAAAGTGTCCCAAGAGCAGACAAAAAAAGTCAGAGAAACATGCTCCCACCGTTATGAACCCCACAAAAACACCAAGTGAACAGCTGTAACATACTCAGAAAATCCGGTGCACATCCATGAAAACACTGTGATTGTACCTTCAGTCTCTCTGAGCCCATATGAGCTCTGTTGCATTGAATGTGTAGCCCTTTTTCTTTTGTTTCCTCCATCCTGACTCCTACTTTCTTTTCTTCAACTCTTCCATAGGATTCCTGGAGCTCCATGGCAAGGGACCCAATTAAGACCACTTTAGAGTCTCTGAACCTGTCACCATTTGCTGTGTGAGGAAGTATCTCTGGTGACAATTGGCCTTGGTTCCCATCTATGAGTATAGCAGAATATCATTAGGAATCATTTCATTGATTTTGGGGGCGGCAGTCATGTTTGGTTCTGTCATAGGTCTCAGGGCTATATAGTCTCCTGTTCCTGGGCACCCAGGCAGTGTAAGGCATAGGCTCCCTCCCTTCATGTCGGCCTCAAGTTAAGCCACTCATTGGTTGGCACTCCCACAGATTCTGAGCCACCATTGTCCCAGCCCATCTTGCATGACGGACATATTGTAGGTGGAAGGTTTTGTGGCAGAGTTGCTGTCCCAAGTTTCTTTTTGGTAGCTTGCAGAGTACCTTTCTGAATCAATGAGACTATGAAGTTTCTCTGAACAGACTCTTCACTCTCAGCAATTGTTTACTCCTTTTATTAACTTTAGGAAGAGGCCCCTCATGACTCTTCCAACTTCCTGTTTTCCCTTGAATGTGACCCTTGGTTTACTTACTGAGGCTTTCTTAAGATTCCCCTTCCCCTTTATAGCTATTGTTTCAATTTGGACACAATGTTGCAATTCTGGGGAACAATGACACAACACAGGAACTCCATCTTAAGAAACAAAAAACAAGCAAAAACAACAACAACAACAACAACAACAAAAAAAAACACACACACTCTCTCCCCCAGAAGCTGTCAAGTGCCAGCACCCGCTTAGCTAGAAGTGATACTTGGTGAGCACTTCTGTCCCTGCTGGAATGTTCCTTGACCTGAAGTATATTTTTTTTTATTATTTTTGATGGGTGCATTGAACTTCATTGATGGTATTCAAGAGAGTAGGCTCCCTAAGCCCCTCCTTATTCTGGGGGTCTGGGATGGAAACTGTGAGGGAGATTATCAGTATGGGGTTTGTTGGACAGGGACTGCTCAGCAGCCAGCGCCTCTCTCTTGCTTGAGTCCTTGCTGGGGTGGATGGTCCAGGGTGTGTTTCTTTTTCCTTGGAGGCCATGTAGGTCATGAGTTCCACTACCCTGTTGCTGTGCCGAATTCATTGTCATACCAGGAAATGAGCTTTACAAAATTATCATTGAGAGAAATGACAGCATCAAAGGTAGAGGAGTGGAAGTCACTGTTGAAGTCGCAGGAGACAACCTGGTCCTCGGTGTAGCCCAGGATGCCCTTCAGTGGGCTCTCGGATGCCTGCTTCACCACCTTCTTGATGTCTTCATACTTGGCAGGTTTCTCCAGGCAACATGTCAGATGCACGACCGTCACATTGGGGGTAGGAACACGGAAGGCCATGCCAGTCAGTTTTCCTGTTCAGCTCTGGGATGACTTTGCCCACAGCCTTCGCAGCACCAGTGGATGCAGGGATGATGTTCTGGGCAGCATTACGGCCATCACACCACAGCTTCCTGGAGGGGCCATCCACAGTCTTCTTGGTGGCAGTGATGGCATGGACCGTAGTCATGAGTTCTTCCACAATGCCAAAGTTGTCATGGATGACCTTGGCCAGGGGGGCTAAGCAGTTGGTGGTGCAGGACACATTGCTGACAATTTTGAGGGAGTTGTTGTACTCGTTGTGGTTCACACCCATCACAAACGTGGGGGCATCCGCAGAAGGGGCCGATATGATGACCCACTTGGCCCTGCCCTTCAAGTGGGCCCCAGCCTTCTCCATGGTGGTGAAGACGCCAGTAGACTCCACAGCATACTCGGCACCAGCATCACCCCATTTGATGTTGGCGGAATCTCGCTCCTGGAAGATGCTGACAGCCTTCCCATTGATGACAAGCTTCCCATTCTCAGCCTTGACTGTGCCTTTGAACTTGCCATGAGTAGAGTCATACTGGAACATGTAGACCATGTAGTTGAGGTCAATGAAGGGGTCATTGATGGCAACAATGTCCACTTTGTCAGAATTGAAGGCAGCCCTGGTGACCAGGTGTCCAATACTGCCAAATCCATTCACGCTGACCTTCACCATTGAGTCTCAGGAACAAGGCTGACACTGCAGGAAAAGATGCTGCTATCTCTAGAACAGGGAGGAGCAGAGAGCCCTGAGGAAGATCTTATGCACACTTTCTCAACTGTTGTGAGTTTATATGTGCAGCTGAACTTCTTTGTCTAGAAAAAAACTCTCTTTGTATGTATTAATCTATAACCCATGTCTCTTAGAATTTTCCCACCCCTCTTCAACCGTGATTCCTGAGCCTTGGGAAAGAGTATGATGTGGTTGTCACATTTAGGACCAAACAATCTGCATTCTCTTTTTCTTACACCTTGATTGCTTGTGGGTCTTCCTGAAATCTTCATGACACCCCAATGTTACTATAAATCTTTCTGCCAAAAGCCGCCTGAGCCCCACTGCCACATGTGAGCTTTACAACAGCCGCCTGCCCCAGTTAGGCCCAAATGAATACACAGAGAGACTTGTATTAGTTACAATGCTGCTTGGCCAATGACTAGGATTCTCATCTGTTAGCTCAGTCTTAATTATCATACATCTATATATTTTATAAGACTTATCTTATCAGATGCCTTATTAGGTTAGGGTTAGGGTTAGGGTTGGCGTCCCTCCTAGCTGGTGGATCACATCATGCCACTGGAGCAGGAGTCGAGGGGAAAAGAGAGGGCCCCTTTCCTCTATTAATGCACTTCATGGAGTAAATATATGTTTCTATTCCTCTTCCAGGGAAAATTTCAAGACTTTGTTATGCTTTAATATATATAATGTTAGCATAATTATTTATCTGCAAGTATTCAACACATATTTGAAAAATGTTGAGAAAGGAGCGAGTAATCATAATTACTATTTCCTGAAATTGGGTAAACCATGTAATGCATTCACAATGAAGTTAATGTGGATTAGAAACATGCAATACCTTTTTAACCATCAGTCTGTTTTTTTCCATTGTCCCATATATATATATATTCCAAACAGTACTTCAGTACTTGCTTCTTTTGGAGGTTTCATATTATCCAATTCCTTGCATATACTTTATTTTTTAACTTATGATTGACTTGATTGTAATTTTTCTATGAATTAACTTTCTTGAAACATATTGAGTTCCTTGTAGGTATATATTCCTGTCCATCAATTTTTTTTTAATTTAAGACATTACTTCTTCAAGTAGCTATTCTTTGCTCCATAGATGTTTTTGGTGATACATATGGACACATTTAATTATTTCTTTTCTTATCATCCATTTGGGCATGATGTTTCTAGTTGTTGATCCCCCTGATTAATCCAACTCACCAGGAACTTACTGGACTTCTTCAGTGAGAGAACAGAAAATTACATCTAGTCACAATAACCTCAGAAAAAAATTTCACAACTTTTGCCGTTTTTTTCTGGTCATTCTATTGCAGTTATTTTTAGGTATTAGAATTGTTCAAATCTGAGACTTCCATATTCTTTATTTATTTATTTTCATTTTT